AGCGCACGCGCCCCATAGAGAAAAACTCTCTCTCCCAAAAAAAAAAAAAAAAAAAAAAAAAGAAAGAATGAGCACTCTCTGTATAGCTCTGCCCCACTGAGCTGGATTTGGAGAACTTGGATTATAGGTCCTAACTCTACCCTCAGTCCTCTTAGGGAAGGCCTGTAACTTCCCAGGTTCTGAGTTGAATTCTGTTATATGGAATAAAACATAATGGAATTTTGGTCAGTGATGGGCCACATATTCCATGGTGATTATAATGGAGCCAAAAATTTCTTGTTTCTTGGGCCAGCAGGTGGCATGGTGGTTAAGGTGCTGGATCCCGCATGGCCAACTGTGGTTCAAGTCTGGACCTGGCAACTTGAAAAATAGTTTGGGAGGCATGCATGTGTGTATAACAAAATCCCAAGAGGAGAGTGGAGGAGAAGGGTTTGTGGCATGGCCATGCCCCCCTGGGGGACAATTTGTCACTTTCTCTCTGTCAGGCTCACATGCCATATGGTAAAAATATAAAATATAAAAATTGTTGTCACCTATACATCTATTTAATGACTGCAGTAAGCTATATAGCCTCAGCTAGGTGGTACTTTATAATATGTTCATCCTATTCACTTTTTTGCCTAAAGTCAAATGTGTTCATAGATATGTTTATATCTGCTGTACTTGTTATTGAAAGTATTTAGATTAGTTAAGATCCTTTGTGAATCAATAAAATATGAAAAAGAAACTAAATGACTAATAGGGATATTATCAATAGTTGACTAATATTAACCCATATTGACTAATATTGACCAATATTGACTTGTTAATCATTGTTAGTCAATATTATGGTATATTCATACAATCAAATTTATGTAGCCATTAAGATATATGTATGATCTCTATGTATATAAATGTTGATGATAATGTGATAATATGTATAAAAATATCTTTAATGAAAAAAATAATTAAATTAATTAAAACTAAAAAAAAGTTCTTGTCACCTGCTAACATTGTAGTTGCCTAGTTTTCACTGCGGTTGTCATAAAGTCATAGCACAAGGCATTACTCATGTATTTGAAGTGATTCTGGTGTTTAAAAACCTACTGTGTTTCCTGTTGTAGAAAAATGTATCATACACAGTTATTTATGTACAGGACATAATTCTTTATATTTATTAATTGAGTGTACTTGCTAGAGACCGAGGGACAGAGGAGAAGGAAGAAAGCATTCCCCCCAGTGGGGCATTGACATGCCACAATTCCTTCTCCATTCTGTTGAGATTTAGAGCACACATGCTCGCACATTAGGTGTGTTTTTCAAGCTATGGGGCCAGGATTCACATCTTTTTTTTTTTTTTTTTTGGGTCTCTTACCCCTTTCTTTTTTTTTTTTTTTGGAGAGGTTTTTCACTATAGGGCGCGTGCGCTTGCCAGACAGAGAGAGACAGAGAGACAGAAAGCGAGAAATCACCCCCCAGGGGTGATTTCCTCCTCCTCCTCCTCCTCCTCCCCCCGCAATCCCTTCTCCTCCATTCTCTTCTCGGGATCTTGGGCACGCATGCACACGTGCCCGGCGTGAGTTTTAAGCCACCGGGTCCGGGATGTGAACCGTGGTCGACTACGTGGGAGTCCAGCGACATAGCCATTACGCTAACTGCTGGTTCCCGTGGATTCACATCTTGATAGGCCATGTGGAATACAGTTTCTTAACCACTAGACTGCTGGCTGGCCCCATCATCATATTTGTTAATGATAATAAGCAAGTGTTACTGATTTATGTACCATTTATTGTTACCTTACTTTAGAGTGTCCTACCTCTACTTAGTATGTAGAAACAGGTTTACTGTGCCATGTTACACCTGCAGCAGCCTCATACATTTTGTGTTCACCATATCTCTAGACCATATCATTTTCTCTTGTGCTTGATTTAATTTTGCGTGGTGTTCATCACGGGCATATCTGAGGGACAAGATGTTGAGGTAGAAAGTTATGATATTGGTGATTTTGACCCTATGTAGACCTAGGCTAATGAGTGTGTGTTTATGTCATGGGTTTTAGAAAAAAATTAAGAAGTAAAAATACTTTGGTTTTGGTTTGCTATAGAGTTCCTGCCCTCCCTGAAGAGAGACAGAGAGGGAGAAAAAGAAAGAGAGTGAGAAAGCATCCCCAGGGAGCACGGTCATGCTGCAGTCCCTCCTCCTCCACTCTCCTCTCAGGATTTTAGACATGCACCTACATGTGCTCAGTGTGATTTTCAAGCTACTAGATCTGGGACTTGAACCATGGCTGGCCTGGTGGGAGTCCAGCACCCCAACTACCACTCCACCTGCTAGTGTCAAGAAAGAATATTTTTGTATAGCTCTACAGTATTTTTGTGTGTTTTTTTTCCTTTTTTTTTTCACGTTTTATTAATTCACAAAAACTACATATTTTCAATAGTAAGTACAGTCTATATAAACATATCTATGAACACAGCTAAATGTTATTACAAAAGAAACAACAAATTAAAATTTAAAAAATTTATAAAGTAAAATATAGTAAGCTAAGGTTAATTTATTAGTGAATAGAGAAAAATTATTTTAATTGAGTACAGTCTAAGTATACAGTGTTTATTGTCTACAGTTGTGTGCAGTAATGTCCTAGGCCTTCACATTCACACAGTACTCACTCGCTGATTTAACCAGAGCAAATTCCAGGCACATGAGCTCCAATCATTTGTAGGTAAATGCCCTATCTTTTTAATCTTTTATGCTGTATTTTACCGTACATTTTCTATATTTAAATATGGTTAGGTACACAAAAGCTTACATTGTTACAGTTGCCTACAGTTTTTTAAAAATTATTTTATTGAACTTTATTTTATTTATCTATTCATTCATTTTAATTTGACCAGAGAGGGATAGAGAGAGAGAGAGAAAAAGTGAGAAAGCAAGCCACCAGGTCCAGGACTTGAACTATGGTCGGCCATGTGGGAGTCCAGCCATGCCACCTGCTGGCCTCAGTTGCCTACAGCTTTTAGTGCAGTAACATGTTGTGCAGGTTGGAGCCTAGAGCAGTGGGCTATCCCATACAGCCTAGGTATGTAGTAGGCTATACCATCTAGCTGTGTGTATTTCCATCATTAAGTAACATGCAACGGTATTTACTATTTGTCCTCTACAGAGATTTTATAAATCACTGGGTCCTTCCTGGCCAGTTGTTTGAACATGGCACCCATTCATTTAGAAAACAAGGTTTTATTGAGTGCCCAAGAACAAATGATAACAACAGTCATCAGCCTTGTGTTTTATTTCAGATCCTGTCACCAAGACGTGGAACTTCAGCATGACTGACTACAGTGCCCTGAGTAAGTATCGTCCCTCTTGAACAGAGGAACTGCCATTGAACAGTTTCTCTGGAGTAGCGGATGTGGTCTAGCTTGTGGTGTTCAGGGCTTTAGAGGTGGTGACAGCTTGCAGGGCACCAGCCCCATACCATTTCCTGCTATGCCCAGCCTAATGGGGCAGCTACGTGGGTGAAGGTCACCAGCAGTAATGACAAAGGCTAACACTTAATGGTGCCTGCTGTGCACTAGGCTATTTTGTTCCCCCAAATTATGTCATCCCTTTTAATCCTTTTAACAGCCATTTTACTGATGGGGAACCTGAGGCCTGGGGAGGATGAGTAACTAACACGGTCACACAGCCAGTACGTTGTACAGCGGATTCAAACTTGGAGAGCCTGATCGAAGAGAGTGTGTTCCTGCAGGACGGTGCTGGCTCCAGCAGTGGCGGCAGCTCTGCCAGCCCCTGCTCCTGGTAGGACAGCAGTTCAGCAAATAGCACCAGTCCCCAGGGTACTATGGCTCATAGCTCAGGAGTACAGGGAGGGGACGTTGCCCAGGCAGGTTGCAGCTAGCACTGGGTCTGGTTGCTGTCAGCCCCTAGGTGCCACTCCAGCTTCTGAGATTGTATTAACTGTCCTGTCCCACCAGGGTTACTGTCACCTTGTCTGGTGCCTTCACCTCTATCACAGAGTCAGTTTTGGATGCTCTTGTCTCCGTTTACTCATTTTCCCTGGCAGCCATTCATTTCTATACTCTTCCCTGCCCAGTTCAGAAAGGAGAGACAATAAGACTGTGTGCTCAGGTTACTTCTCTGCAGATTTGGGGCATGAAGTAGAATTCTCTGAAGTCACCAGCACAGCTTCTGGGCAGTTGATAGGACAGTTCCCTACAGAATTCCCGGGTTCTCTCCTCGGCCTCTATTTCTTGAAATGGACAACCTCAATGATGTGCCATTCTTCGGCAGCTGCTGGTCCAGCTAGGGCTGCCGTAACAAAATACCACAGACTGGGTGTCGTAAACAGGAGAAATTTATTTTCCCACAGTCCTGGACGCTGGAAGTCTGAGGTGAAGGCATTGGCAGGGTTAGCGCCTTCAGAGGCCCCCTTCCTGGCTTGTGTATGCTTGCCCTCCCTCTGTTCACATACATTCCTGGCACCTCTCCTTCTCCTTACAAGGGCATAATAAGCTAACCCCCCTTGTGGCAGTTAAGCACAGTGCAAAGGAAGCTAAGTCCCACGAATGACGAGTTCGAATCCTATGCACCTGCACGCCCAGGATCCTCATGGGATGGAGGATTGGAGCAAAGGGGACTGTGGCTTGACTGGGCCCTAATGGAGAATGCCTTTGTCTGTCTGTCTCTCTGGCATTAACCAAAACAAAAATAAGGACCTCAGGTGTATTGAATTAGGGCTTACCCCAATGAACTCATTTTAACTGTTTCAGACCCTGTCTCCAGATCAGTCACATTCTGAGGCACTAGGGGTTAGGGCTTCAGCATAGGAGTTTTGGAGGAACACAGCTCTGCCCATAATATGGCTGGTGTTAAAAAATCTTTTTTTTTTGGCAGGGTCAGGGGGAGATGGTGGTGGTGGTTCATATTTTAATCCATTTGTTTGGTATTCGCAGGAAGAAATCCAGGGCTCTGGGTTAAGATTGTATATTTCAAAAGACACCTGGTATTGTCATTGTTGCTTGCTTTAAACCAGTGATTTCAATTTCTGCTTTTGCAGTTTTGTCCTCTTTTTATACTTGTTCTCTAAGCACAGCACATGTGACTTAGATGGCTTCTGCTTTGTATATTTTTTCATTTTTCTGTGTATAGCTTTCTGTAATGCTCCACAGAGGTTTTTTTGTTTGTTTTTGTTTTTGAGAGGTTTTCACTATAGGGCGCGTGCGCTCGTCAGACAGACACAGAGAGACATAGAGACAGAAAGCGAGAAATCACCCCCCGGGGGGATGGTCACGCCGCAATCCCTTCTCCTCCATTCTCCTCTCGAGATCTTGGGCACGCATGCACACATGCCCGACGTGAGTTTTAAGCCACCGGGTCCAGGACGCGAACCGCGGTCGCCTACATGGGAATCCAGTGACATAGCCATTACGCTAACTCCTGGTTCCCTCCACAGAGTTTTTGAAAACAGTGTTTATTGGGTACCAAATTTTCGATGTAGCTTTTGATGAATTTTACTGATGAAGTGTTTGGCTCCTCTGCATTCTTACCACTGTCTTTGTACTCTTGATCTTTGTGTACTGGGATATACCCTACCATGGTCTTGCAGGCCAGCTGCTGGTGTAGTAGTGAAGGCTGCTGGATCCCACGTGGCTGACTGTACAGCTCAAGTCTCAGATTCAGTTTGAGCATGTGTGTGTGTCTATACCCCAAATGCCAAAGCAATGGAGAAATGGAGGAGAAAGGGTTATAGCATGACCATGCCCCTTGGGGGGATGCTTCCTCACTTTCTCTCTCTCTCTCTCTTTCTCTTCTCTCTGGCGAGTGTACGTGCTCTCTGGCACATAAAAATCTCTTGCAACAATTGTGGGTTTGTGAATTTGTATTTCTGTATTTCAGATAGGTTCAAAAAGTACATGTTAACGGCTATACTTTTTATCAATGTGACATGTAAAGATTGTCTCTGTGTCAGTCTTTCTGCTTTAGGTCTATCACTGAAGTTTGATCTTTTAACCCCACCACTTACTCATTGTAGAACATACAGAAATTACAATAACATGTGAGGAACAACTATCATCTATAACCTCCCCTCTAGTTTACCATTATTAAGTTTAGGTTTTGTTCCTTCAGCCTTTTTGCTGTTACATTAAAATATGCAAATTTAAAATATGTATGTAATTTTTTAAAGAGGTTTTTGCTATAGGGCACGTGTGCTCGCCGGAAAGACAGAGAGAGAGACAGAGAGGTAGAAAGCGAGAAATCACCCCCCAGGGGCGATGGTCATGCCGCAATCCCTTCCCCTCCATTTTTCTCTCAGGATCTTGGGCACGCACACACACCCGGCGTGAGTTTAAGCCACTGGGTCCAGGACTTGAACCGCAGTCAACTACATGGGAGTGCAGCGACATAGCCATTATGCTAACTGCTGGTCCCATAATTTTTCTTTTAAAATTGTCAGAGGGCATATGCACTTGCCAGAGATAGGGGGGAGAGAGAGAGAGAGCGCGAGCGCGCAAGCGGGCAATAAAAAGTACCCTCAATGGGGCATGGTCATGCTGCAGCCCCTTCTTTCTCCATCCTGTTGTGATTTCAGACATGCATGCACATGTACCTGGCCTATCCTTCCAGCCACACCGTCAGGATTCAACCATGGTCAGCTATGTGGGATATGGCTCTTTTCACTACTAGGCTTTGAAGCCAGCCTTATTTTCCCTTCTTCGTTTAGTGTTCCGGCATAAACGTTCTTATTTTAATGAATGCTAACAGTTAATTCTGAGTGATAAAAATGTGGTATGTCCATTGCTGTAGTGGACATACTGACCTTCAAAAAATAATTTCACATTGTTGACATAATACTGCTTTTTCTACTTTTGTCTTTTCTAAAAGCCTGAGTTAAAAAAAATAAAAGTAAACGCCTATATAATGTTTCATTGTGTGAATGTGTCGTAGATCCTTAAATCATTCTTACTATTTAATTTGAATTTGCTCCCAAGTTTTCTAGTTTTAAAGCTGTTAAGAAACACCTTTGTGCATAAGTTGTTTTTTTGTTTGTTTTTGTTTTGTATTTTTTGGAGAGGTTTTTACTGTAGGGTGCATGTACTTGCCAGAAAGACAGAGAGAGACAGAAAGACAGAAAGTGAGAAATCACCCTCCCCCAGGAGGGATGGCCACACCACAATCCCTTCCCCTCCATTCTCCTCTCGGGATCTTGGGCACACATGCCTGGCATGAGTATAAGCCATCGGGTCCGGGACTCGAACCACAGTCGACTACATGGGAGTCCAGTGACAGCCAACTGCTGGTCTCACATAAGTTTTTTTTCTGTATTTTCAGTTGTTTGTTAGGATAGAACCCCAGAAGTAGAATGCCAAGTTGTTTTTTTTAAAGAGATTTTTGTTATAGGGTGTGTGCACTCACCAGAGACAGACAGAAACAGACAGAAAGCGAGAAGTGGTCCTCCAGGGGTATGGCCACACTGCAATCCCTTCTCCTCCATTCTCGTCTTGGGATTTTGGGCATGGACACACACACACCTGGCACGAGTTTTACACCTTGTCCAAGACTTGAACCACAGTTGACTACATGGGAGTCCAGTGACATAACCATTGTGCCATCTGCTGGTCCTGCCAGATTGTTTTTTTAAAAGGTTTTATTCCCAACTAGAAATATGAATTCTAGTTTTGTTTTTTTTTTCATTCTGCATGTTTCATAAGTTAGAAAATCGCTTTTTTTTCCTAATTATTTGTGAAGTTGAATATTTCTCCAAGTGTTTATTAGTCATTTTCTCCAATATTTTAAGTTGGTTATATCTCTATATCCCTCTTATTTTGTGGCCTTAACTTTTTCAAGCATGAGCAATGTTTATATTTCTTATTCGTATCCTTAATCAGTAGTTTTGCCTTTCAGTTCAGTTTGTGTTTTCTGACAGCTTACGTGTTATTTTTTTCTTAGGATTTTGTAAGAGGGCATGTGCACTTGCTAGAGAGAGTCAGAGAGGGAAAGTAAGAAATCAATCCCCAGGGGGTATGGCGATGCTGCAGTCCCTTCTCCTCCATTCTCTTCTTGGGATTTTGGGCATATACACACACGTGCCCAGTGTGATTTTCAAGCTCTGATGTCTGGAACTTGAACCACAGTTGGCCATGTGGGAATCCAGTGCCTCAAAAACCACCATGCCACCTGCTAGCCCCTGACAGGTTAGTTTTACGTTGCCAGATCTATTAATCCTTAAGACGTGCCAGTAATAGATAAAATAATGTTAAAAAAATGCATGTGCTGACAGTTTTTTTTTTTATTTGTTTGCTTTTTTGAGAGAGGTTTTTTGCTATAGGGTGCCTAGACTAGCCAGAAA